TGCCGCTTTACTTTCATTTTGTGTTTGTTTATTTTATAAACCCGGACCATTTTATTGACAGGTGTCCAATCAAGGAGGCGGGAACCAGCGAACATTTAAACAAAACTAATAAAATACAAAAAAAAAAAAAAAAAACACAAAAATTGGACTGACTGGCTCTTTAATGACCTCTATATGCAAAGAAACGGATGGTTGGGCCCACACACACACACACACACACACACACATTCATCAACCCCCACCGTTGCAGGCCTGGATTGTTGCTAGGGTGCGTTGTGGCCGATTAAAACACAATACTGGCCGCTTCACTCTAACCGAGCAAAATACAACAATGCAGAGTACCTCAATACAAGTGAATGGCAAGCGGTCGAGCGTGAAGATCACTTCGCTTAAGCCCTCTCTTGCTCCAATGGCAATCGTGTATGGGAAGCCAAACAACCCAAATGTGGGACGAAACAGCACGGTATTAAAGTGATCAGTTACATCAGCGCAGCGCGAACATTACTCTTCTTCTTCTTCTTCATGTTTTATGGCGGGTGGCATCCAACAAGGTGCATTACCGCCATCTACTATGCGAACATTACTCTCCGCAGAAGTTCGTGTTTTTTTCCTGCACATAACATAATGAAGATCAGTATTAAGTTATTACATTTCTTTTGCTTACCTTTCTACTACATGTAAACAGTTGTACTTTGAAAAACTGCAAATATAAAATATATAAGACTTTAATAAATTTACAATACCATAGTCCTCTTAAGGAGCACACCCAGCTTCTAGTATATATATATTTTTATTTTGTACTTCGTTATTATTGTTGTTGTCGTCAAGTTCTACATTCAGCACAATACTGCCCATTTTAAATCTGAGCTATTATTAAATAGCCAAGTATATATATGGGATTTTTGTTGTCTCTAGTAAAGGGAACGTTGTTATTTAACTTTAACATTGCAATTTTATATAATGGATACGGTTTGTAAGGCTTTTCTCTACACTCCAAATTAAATAAATAAATACATTTTAATTAATTAAAAAAACTTTAAAAATTAGGGACAGTGTATGTAAATTCAATATGATGTATTTTGAATTTTGCACTGCATTGTGTTTTAGGTTTATCGGAAAACACATTAAAATGAACCATGATTTTATTACACTAACCTTTTAACCATATATCTGTAGTTAAACTGTGGGTTAAAAAATGACAATCAATCCATGGTTACTGCACTTTTACTATAGTAAAACCATTGTTCATTTCCGTATTTCCATAAGGGAAAATGTATGTATATTTTCCTGACAGAAAAGTATCAGTACATTTTACTCTTTTTTTTCAAGCATAATCATATGCTACAGTTACACAAATATCCTTAAATGTAAAATTTACTTAAATATGCCTTGATGAACGAAACCATTAAATATTTGAATTCTAAGAGGATAATGGAAGTTTCTGCTGTGAACGTGACTACTAAATATAGGCTATACGTGCTTCAAAGTAGCTAACACTACTGTTTACATGTAGTAATATGAAAGATAATAAGCAAAAGAAATGTAATAACTCTTCATTATGTTATGTGCAGGAAAAAAACACGAACTTCTGCGGAGAGTAATGTTCGCATAGTAGGTGGCGGTAATGCACCTTAACGTTGGATGCCACCCGCCATAAAACATGAAGAAGAAGAAGAGTAATGTTCGCGCTGCGCTGATGTAACTGATCAGCGCTGCGCTGTCAGCTCGGTGGCGCTAGTAAACACGTCCTCTCTGCGCTGTCGAGTCGGTCGCGCAGCTCGGTCCATTGAGCCGAGCCGATGACAGGTCAGCGCGGCGCGGACACTGTAATACCGTGCTGTTTCCTCCCACATTTGGGTTGTTTGGCTTCCCATAATCGTGAACTCGTGAACCCTCGATGCGGTGTATCCAGCAATGCCAGAGGAAATGAAGTGTCAGCGCAAGTTCTACTAGGAAGACTTAATGCTACGTCACATATTACAATTAGATCTAGCCAATCGGCACGCAACACGAGGAATATAAAAGCCCTCTACTCACCCTTCATTGTGTTTGCAGATACTGCCGCTGTCGTTTCCCTCCATCACCCTTCATTGTGCTTGCAGATACTGCCGCTGTCGTTTCCAGCGCAAAGTGTGCTTGACTTCTTGCCTGACTTTCCCTGGGTCGCTCGCATATAGTCAAGTCTGTCTTCTGTGAATGATTGCGAGTTTGACATTCCTCTCAAATGCACACTAGATCGTTGGCGTTGCTCTGGCGTCGCGGTGAATGTTTGCGGTCGTTTGGTAGTGTTGCATACATACAGGTGTTGGAGTTTTCTCGGCAGAGGACGTGAAACATTGGCGGAGCTTTTAGTTCACGTCCGCCGTCATTTCCGAGTGCTTTCCGAGCTGTCGCGTCGGCGCTGCTCGCGTCTCAATCAACAAAATATTTCGCCGTACGCTCACGTGAACCTGCACGAATCTGGGCCAGCTGTCGGAAACAAGGCTGCTGGTCTCCTTCGGCATTTCGTCTTCATCACTTCATTAGCCTTCACCATTATAAGTATTATTTTGTTTTATGTACTCCATTTTTTCACAGGCATGTCTGTGTTTGTGCGGGTCGCTGTGCGGTCATTTGGTCCTGAGTTCCACAGACTCAGGTTGGGGGGCATTTGTTTGTGGT